ACGCTCCCGGGGCTGAACAAGCAGCCGGTGCCCGTTGGCCACCCCTGCGCAGAGGTCCCAGCGTGCACATCCCGCTCTGACTCTCTCCCTTCGCAGGCCACAGCGACAGACCAGGTGGTTGGATTCGGCTTTGTTGCCTTCAGCCGCCTCCCCTTCGTTTACTACACCCTCTGGATCATCGTGCTGGTACGGGTCTCCTCTGGCCAGTATAATCCCAGTCACTTCACACTCGGGTGTGAGCCTGGCCTTTGTTTAAGGCTGATGTGTCCATGTGCCTGCAGGACTCTGCCTTGCCAGCTTTCCTGGTTAAAAATCTCAGGGCAGAGCTTCCTCTGTTTTCTGGCAAAACTCTTGCCCCTCCTGGGTGTGCCCACCCTTGCCTGGGTGAGGCCGAGCATTACTCGTGCTGCCTGCCCAGCTGCTCTAAGCCAGGCTGGCCCAGCTCACTCGAGCTGTCAGCAGGAGCTGCAGCCTTCTCCACCTGGAGGAGTTGTCACTGGTGTTCACGTTTGCAGTCCTCCAGATTCCTGGTTCTGGGGGAGATCGCAGAAGGAGACATGAAAAGAGACGACTCATACCAAATCTGGAGCCTGGCAGGGTGGAGAAGAGCGTAGGGAGCGCAGAGCTCTGGAACGGTGATTGTGAGCCTGGTGCTTTGCCCACCTCTAGGGACACATCAGCTGGGTCACTACTGGTTTTCTTCCAGGAAAGAAACATCTTGTGAGCCAGTTACAAGAGGCCTGGTTCAGCCCTGGGCTGATACCTGAACTCCTGGCAGCTTCCCCTCTGACCTCTGAGAGTTTTGAATTCTCTTGCATCTGCTCACTGCTGTCCAGTACATGTTTAAACATATGGGGAGCGCGTAGGTGTGCTCGCTGCTGGTGGGAATCCTTACACTGCTCTCTAGTGTCCAAAGCCCTCCACTGGCCCCCGCAGGGGGATCCTCGCAGCATCACCATGAAGCAGAGCCAGCTGCTCGCTTCTGCAGGGCAGAGTCCAAGGATTTGCTGTGTTCAGCAGCACGCAGGCTGGCAGCTGTGCCCACCCTGAGACCCCAGGGCTGCGGGACCCCTGTGCCAGCCTCGTGTAGCTGTCCCTCGCTGTCAGCTGAGCGCTGAGGCCTTCGCTGCCTGCCTGCCGTCACGTCCCTGCAGCTGTGGGCTGAGCCACCTGCAGCTCTGGGCACCTTTTTTTAGCTGTCTCCTCATGCCTGGTATTTCTGTCCTGCTTTTGAAACCACGAGGCTGCAGGTGTCGGGGGCTTGCCCAGGTGTGGTGCCCGCCTGCTGACACCCTTCTCTGCCTCCTGCAGCCCTTCATTGACAGCGACCACGGGATCCATCAGTACTTCTTGCCGAGGGAGTATGCGGTTATCATCCCCGTGGTGGCCGGGCTGCTGCTGCTTCTATTTATAGGTGAGTGTTAGTTCTGTTGTTCTAATTAGAAGTTCTAAATTAGGAAGAGAGAAGAGGGTTGCTAGGGGGTTAGCTAATGTGTGACACTCCTGACACGCTCTCTGTGGCTCTTGCTGCAGCTCAGCCTGGCACGAGCGCTCAGGGCATGTGTTTGTGCCTAACTTTGGCTGTTTGAGCTCTGGACAATGGAATTTTCTTGCTCGCTCTGCTGAGGTTGTGTTTCTCACTGCAGTGTTTTAAAAGTGCCTGTAAATGGAAGTTTTCTCATGGAATCTGTTCTCTCTCATGGTAGGCGTTTTTATAATGGTCGTGGTGTGGAAGAGCAGGAAACCTGCCAAGAAATCGGACTGAAGGCCCAGCTTGAGCGAGATGAGGAGCAAGCGCCCAGCCCACGGCATTGTAGCCAGGAAAAGACTTAGCCTGCAGCACCAGGCAGCACCTCCCGCAGAGCGCTCAGCGCTGCAGAGACACAGCCTTCTGTAGTTTACAACTTACTGACCAAAGGGAACCAGAACTGACCCTGGGGCTCGTGAGAGAGGGACCAGAGCCCCGGCCATGGGGGACCTGCCCCCAGCTGGGGCTGCCGGTGCGGGCCGTGGGAGCTGGCGGGGTCCAGCAGCTGTAACCGCCAGAGTGCGAGTCGAGCTCTGCTGCTCGCCCTCTGGGTAATCCTTCCCCTCTGCTCTTGCTGTGTCCAGTAGTTTGTTCCTTCTGGGTTTTTTTTAAATATTTACATATGGTTTGTGGGGTTTTTCTTAATTGGATTCAAGATTGAAAGGAAAGAAGTGAGCCTGAGCTTGGGAAAGGCAGACTTGCGTTCCCATTTGCCTGCTGGAAGGGCTAGTGGTGGTGCTGGTGGGCTCTTACCTCTCTGAAGAGGGACCCCGTGAGGCCAGGTGTGCAGATGGTGCAGGGACAGTGCCACTGCTGCCCTCTCCATCCCCTCCTGCGGTCATCCCGGGGTGGTGAGGGGTCACAAGGAAGCGTTGGGCCCCACTGCGGAGGGGTGCAGCTCCTGAGGTCACCCTCAGTAAAGGCCCCCAAGGGCTTGGTCCTTGTCCTGCACCTGTGCCATGTGTGCCGGGACGGTTTCCACTGCGTGGCCCTGGCAGCGCTGGACACCGTGCTGGGGGGGTCCTGTCGGCGGGGACAGGCAGCGAAGTGCCAGAGGGAACCTGGCTGGGGATGCTCAGCCTTGTGCTGGGCCTGCTTAACCCCCTGGGGTAGCTCTAGCAAAATGGGGGCACGTTTGGGGCACTCTGAGCCTTCTCGTGTGTCCTGTGACCTTCCCCTGCCAGCTAGCAGCGTGTCCCATCGTCTCGCAAGCTGCCGGGAGTGATGCTGGTGGCTTGGGGGCACCCCGGGTGCCCGCGGTTTTTTGCGGTTTAACCCCCTGTGTGGCTGGAGCCGGGGGGTGGTCTGGAGGTGATCCCTTCGTTTTCCCTTGCCTGTGTCTGGCTGCTGCCGCTTGTCCCGGTGAGGAATCCTTCACTCCCAGCCCCGTGGTGGTGGGTTTGAGCTGGGCAAAAGGGGAACAATTTGGTCACATCTCTGAGCAGCTCCAGGAGCGTCCCTGGGCACTGCGTCCTGCGCGGGAGCCTGGCAGCGTCCCTGTCACCTCCTCTTTCCTCCTGGTTAAAGTCTGCTGGGAACAGAGTTGGGACAAGTTTCGAAGTTAGTTCTCGTATTTCTGTGTCAACAGCGGGAGAGAACAACGTCCGGTGCCCCTCCCTGGGCAGCAGGGGCTGGGTGTCCCCCTGGGGCC